CTACTTTCCTTACTGGTTTTTTCTTGGGGGAGGTACTTGGGTACCCGTTTATACCTGGTTCTACGGATCCGACTAACACAAAATGTGTCTCATTTTATGCCAGACTACCATTTATACTTTTCAAAATGGTGCGATATGTTGCTGTTGTTGTAGCAGCCCTATTGCTTTTACACAATGGGCTGAGGTGACAGACGTTGACCGAGTAGACTTCCACCGCACGAATTAACCTACGGGAGATCCTCTTAGTAAAATGTGTATTGATTTTAACTCTGTATACTTTAATGTAGATTTTTGTTTTTTGTAGCTGGTTTATGGTGTGTACGCGATCCCACCCCTGCCCCTCGGTGGGCAGGGGTGGGAATGAGAGGCGTGGAAAAGTCGAAAAACAAAAAAAAACTCCTCTGCCGTGGAAACGGGTGCGATCTGTGTTTGTGTCTGGTGTGAATCAAAAAGATATGGGTCCTTAGAACCCTACAAAAACAAGAAAATTCTTTGGCGCAGCCGGAGAAAGTCATATATCGCCGACCGAAGGCCGTCCACCAAGAAACTATTAAACGTGAGATACAAAAGTGAAAAGTGGCCTTCTTGTAAACCGGAAACAAAAACCTACCTATGGAAAAAATTAAAATTTTTCTCAGAGGTGGCCCTAAAGGAAATTTGTTCCCATGTTCAAAATTGGAAAATATTTGGATGGGTGATGTTACGACTGTTAACATGCCGGTCAACTTCCATCATTTCTCCGATTTTATCGGAAACCAAAATTGCGAATAATTGGCTGTTACAGTATCGGAACCATAGACACCATTCACTATTTTAGCCGTTGGGTTGCATTTTCGCCTTTCGAGAAATCCATCAGTACAGCCATCAACCGAAAAAATCATGGAAGTCTTTCTCCCAACCTAATATATTGAAAAAAATTTGCGAAGAAGTCTTCCCAACATCTGGAATGGACATATTCATATAGGAAATTATATGAGAACGATTTTTTGCCCATTGGGAATCTAGCACCAAATTCCTACCACACTCGAAGGTCTTCGATGCCGTCAATCATATCAAACTGTTTGAGGGCAAAGGGAAGTCCTACATTTTGCCGCAAAATGCACACCAATTGAACAGCAAAAATGAATCTCATACTGAACAAAATGGTCGATGGAGAACAGATTCTTACATTTAACTATCCCAAGATTTTGGATAGCCACTGATATTTGCCATAAGCTGGTCAGTGGCACTTGGAAATCTGACAAGCATATATTGTTAGTGTTAAGCTATGTGGCGCATGTGTGGTTTGCGAATGTGGAAAACATTTAGACCAGCCAGAATGTCGGAATGAACATGGTGTATCCTCATTATACAAGGACTGTAAGGGAAAATATTAGAGTTTATATCCCATATTTGATAAAAAATCACATAAGGTGTCATTAATTTTTGTTTGAAACAATAATAGCAGTAGTCAAGGTCGCAGAAGTGAACTATTGTGCATGATTAAATCCCGCATCGATTGATTGTCTCATCCAATATGCAATGTGAAAAAAATGTTTCTAACGTTGGTGATTTGTAATGCATCCCAAGTATTAGTCATACTTAAATGAATGTATCTAATAACAACTAATACGTTTAATGTAAATTTGAAGTTATTCTCCAAGTGTTCTAAAATCTTTGTTGCTGTTTTTCTTTTCAAAACCTTTTTCGTTTTTTAGATGAGTAATATTCTACAAAAAGAAATTATTGTTATTAATTTTGTAAGCTCTAAAATATATTTAAAAATAAGAACAAAAATTTCAAATCGTGGAAAGGGAATTAATAACACCGTAAAAATAGATTTCAAAGTATAATGGAAGATTTTAAAGTTACAGCTTCGCCAGGAGAGTTTTTACACAAAGCCATGAATCATGGTTGTATCTTGTATCTATCAAACAATAGCTGTCTCTTTGTTACGAAGGATTTTACATACACATATTAGATGTTTTATCTTTTCTAACTCCTCTTCATCCTCACTTATAATACTAGTCCATTGATATATCATTTGGAGATGAGAAACATAATTCCCTATTTACCTGATGTTATCATTATGGTAAGTTTAAACCATTTCTTCCCGGGATTGCTACTCTTCACCAAGAACAATGAAATCCCTAAATTTCTCTATCTACCTCTCTTAAATGGAATTGCTCTTGGCGTTAGCCAGGCGCCATTTAAGGCAATCAAGCTTTATTTCAAAAGCAAGGTAGACTACCAACCGAGGTACACAGCAGTGAGGGGGTACTGCATTTCATGTTGTGGATCATGACGATAAATTAAATCCCGATAAATGTTGCATACGGTTCGAACCCAGGAAGAGGAGAAGCTGATAGAGAACACTATAAGCTACCCAAAGCTGGTATGAGCAATAACTATCTTTCAGCACTAGAAATTCCTGGATTATAATAATACCGGCCATGCTGCAGCAAACAGATAAATGATGATTGATCACTCTGCAGGGGATTTTCAGGGCTTGTCTCCTTTTATCGTATATACCAAGTCTATGGAAAGAGGTAACGGTGATCTTTATTCCGAAAGCTGGGAAGTCGAGTTATACACTAAGGACTATAGACCAATTAGTCTTTCTTCCTTGGTTATTAGACTCTGAAATTAGGAATATTATCAACCCAAATACAATTAGCAAATCCAGCAGCATGCCTATATCAAAAGCAAATCAATTGACACTGCCTTACATTAGGTGGTCGGACATATCGAGAAGAATATGGAGAACTATGATTATACATTGGCTGCGTTCCTTGACATTGAATGTGCCTTCAACAATGTGAAGCTGGAAGCTATTCATTCTGCTCTCGAATCTATTCATTCTCAGATATCCCCACCCTCCTAACGGATGGGATTGAAAGAATGCTGGAAAGCAGTATTATCAACTCGTGCATTGGAGAGAGTTCCGTTAGGAAACCTGTTAACAGAGGCGCACCACAGGGAGGAGTACTATCTCCTGTAATATGGCTTCGGGCTATAAAGGAGATACTTTTGAAATTCGATCACCTTAGGATAAATGTTGTAGCATATGCCGATTATGTGCTCATGCTAATCGGTGGAAAGTTTCTGCCGATTACTTTTGACATCATGCAGTGTGCCTTATTAACTCTGTCCAACTGGGCACACACCAATGGACTTAAATCTCACGAAGACAGAAATGGTACTTTTCACTAGGAAGCTTTAAATCCCTTTCTTTAGAAGCAAAATACCTTGATACATGTTGAGGAACACACTTAGAAAGGTCTTATGGCGCTCCACTCCTGCAAGAAATCTTTAGGTAAGAGTGGCTATATATGTCGATAGTCAGGCGGCTCTTAAATCGTGTACTATTAACACAAAAACGGTTAGTGATTGCAAGGATGCTCTTCATTGTATACTACAGTTAAATTTTGTTGGGTTCCAGGACACAGTAACATAAAAGTGAATGAGATAGCCGATTAACTTGCTTGAGGGGGTTCGCAGTCGTCCATTTAACCGATTGAGGGATCCGTACATCATCCCATTGGATACTTTATTGGCAAAATCCGTATGAGCTACTGTGAGGTAGTCGGCAACAAATGGTCGTCAGAACATGGATGCAGGATTTAAAAAAAGCATTGTATAGTCTTATAGTAAGAGGAAGAAAAAAAATCATAGTGGGGATCATAACAGGTCACTGCAGGATTAGATCTTTCACTTCCAAATGTTAGATCTTTCACTTCCAAATGTTCCAAAATAAAAGTAGAATATCATGAAAACTAAATGCAATATCGGGAAAATATAACTTTAAATTATTCTCTATGTTATTTATTACGACAATACAATTCGTTAAATTCAAAAACGAAGCGATTTAAATTTTGCCATCAACTATATATTGAAAAGCGCACAACATTAAAAGATATGACTTTTTCGGTTTTTCTTTTTATATGTGTCGTCCACTATCAGGTCGTACCATATTTCATTCCAAAAATATATATTATAAATAAGGATATTTGAGAGGTTAATGTCAATAACTTGTTCTCTAATATAAGTTGCATTGTTACAGTTATCCTATACATATATTTTATTTGATTGTGATTACAGAAACCTCCTGTGTACCTTGGTGTAGCATGATGGAGGAAATTGCTAGGTTTTATACAAAATTAGTATTTACAAGATATCCTACATTGCCTAATACTTATTGCCATGTATGTTCTTTAAAAATAACATTGGTTTGTTTACAGTGAAATTTTATTAAATCCTTTATATACATACAATTGTCCTTTATAAACATGACTTTATTCAATTACATTCACTATGATTTTCTTTTATTATCGTTGTCTTTAGCGTCCAAATCAAATACAAATTTATATTTGACCTGTCCAAAGGATAACTGGATTTTTTGCTGGCCGTGTGCACGTGTGTATGTCCATGGCTATGTGCGACAATGAAAATTCAATTAACAATACAAATGTGAATGACGAAAGGACGATGTTTGGTCATTGAAACAGATGAAGCAAATATGTTGAAAACCCCATTTAGTGCGCATATAGAGAACGCACAAATCAATTAACTCATTGGTTTTGTTCTCTGTAGCCGAAGAAATAGAAGAACAAGAAGTGAAAACAAACATTTGATGATCGTCGAAATAATCTACAACTTACATCGAACACTGACTGAATCGCTCCTTTGACAAACTAAACGTACGTTTAGCAAACTAATGGCAATCGTCACAACGTCCATTCCAAGATTAGTAAAATAGAGGAAGAGAGAGAGAAATAAAAGTCAACGCCATCAGTTTCGCAAAAGACCACAAGGCAAAGCATTAGACCAGGAAATAATTCAAGTTTGAATTGGTGCACCAGAAAGGTCAGCCACTAGGAAAGACACACACACAGAACATCAAGCAACAGATTAGGGGGGTGAAAATCAATCATTTTTTGTACGGCTCTAGTACAACTACCACTGGAAGAAGAAGATAAGGTGGAGATAGACACTAAATAAGGATTAGCTGAGTAACAAAAATGAATAGTAGCAATAGTGATAGTACAACCACTACTACATCATCGTCATCATCAGGAGGAGCGGCATTGAATGAATTGAAAGGAGGCCAAAATCATACAACGTTTTCTACACAGCCACAACAGCACCATCATCCACCATTCCATCATCACCAGCAACGCAACAATTATGCACCCACACCACCCAGTGACCTCTTGTATCATCATGCCGGTTCTGGGTCGTCGTCTTCTTCTATATCAGCAACAGGAATTGCAACGACAACGACGAATGCGGCCAACATCATAGGCAGCAGTGGCAACAACACTTTTGGCTCAATTAACAAAATGACAGCAACAGTTGATGGTGGTGGTGGTGGCGGTAATGGTGCAGGCAGTGTCAACAACACTACAATCATACCAAGTGCCAACAACACAAATGTCATGAGTCCAACAACCAATAATACCAGTAGCACAACCACGAACAGTGGCGGCAACATACCCGATTATGATAACAGGCAATCGATAAATAATGGTGGTGGGGTTGGCGGTGGCATATCTATGGGAGGCAATGGTGGAGGTGGTAGTGTTATTGCTGTTGCTGGTAATCCAACTGTTGGTGGTGGTAGTGGTGTCTTTTCTAAGCCCCAAGAACGTTATGTCTGGGAAATGCGTGCGCGCAGTCCAAATGTAACACCAGCCAGTACCGTACTTAATTCACCAGATCTTAATACAGATATGCAGTACAGCATACATCCTCATCAGAGACAGTTGCAGCAAATACGTGTTGGCCGTAGTCCGGGTAGTCAATTTGAACAGCATAATATACTGCCACAGGTGGGTGGTCTATTGTCTTATATTATATTCTATTGCAATTGTAGTTTATTGGTTTGTTTGTGTCGCTAAACTATTTGTGAGGATATTTCATTGCATTATAATTACATTTTGTAAAGACATTTATACTAAATGTGAATTACTATAAATTCTTATAGACGGGAAGTCATTCGGCTCGTCTAGAAAGATTCCCTTCAGCACGTTTACAAAATAAGCCCTTCTGGTCGTCCCATAACATCGCCTATAAAAATCTCCTCCAGCTGGTATATAAAGACTCCTTTTAGCTCGTCTTTAAAGATACCCTTCAGCTCGTCTTAATGTCTGCCTTTAGTTCGTATATAACGACTTCCTGAGATATAAAGATATAAAGATTTCCTTCAGCTAGTTTATAATGACTTCCACTAGCTCGTCTCTAAAAACTCCTTTCAGACCACCTAGAAAGTCACCCTTCAGCTCGTCTATAAAGACTCCATTTCGCTCGTATATAAAGACTCCATTGCGCCCGTCTATAAAGACTCCCTTCAGCTCGTCTATAAAGACTCCCTTCAGCTCGTCTATAAAGACTCCCTTCAGCTCGTCTATAAAGACCCCCTTCAGCTCGTCTATTCCCTTCAGCTCTTCTATAAAGACTCCCTTCAGCTCGTCTATAAAGACTCCCTTCAGGTCATCTAGCTCGTCTATAAAGACTCCCATCAGCTCGTCTATAAAGACTCCCTTCAGCTCGTCTATAAAGACTCCCTTCAGCTCGTCTATAAAGACTCCCTTCAGCTCGTCTATAAAGACTCCCTTCAGCTCGTCTATAAAGACTCCCTTCAGCTCGTCTATAAAGACTCCCTTCAGCTCGTCTATAAAGACTCCCTTCAGCTCGTCTATAAAGACTCCCTTCAGCTCGTCTATAAAGACTCCCTTCAGCTCGTCTATAAAGACTCCCTTCAGCTCGTCTATAAAGACTCCCTTCAGCTCGTCTATAAAGACTCCCTTCAGCTCGTCTATAAAGACTCCCTTCAGCTCGTCTATAAAGACTCCCTTCAGCTCGTCTATAAAGACTCCCTTCAGCTCGTCTATAAAGACTCCCTTCAGCTCGTCTATAAAGACTCCCTTCAGCTCGTCTATAAAGACTCCCTTCAGCTCGTCTATAAAGACTCCCTTCAGCTCGTCTATAAAGACTCCCTTCAGCTCGTCTATAAAGACTCCCTTCAGCTCGTCTATAAAGACTCCCTTCAGCTCGTCTATAAAGACTCCCTTCAGCTCGCCTATAAAGACTCCCTTCAGCTCGTCTATAAAGACTCCCTTCAGCTCGTCTATAAAGACTCCCTTCAGCTCGTCTATAAAGACTCCCTTCAGCTCGTCTATAAAGACTCCCTTCAGCTCGTCTATAAAGACTCCCTTCAGCTCGTCTATAAAGACTCCCTTCAGCTCGTCTATAAAGACTCCCTTCAGCTCGTCTATAAAGACTCCCTTCAGCTCGTCTATAAAGACTCCCTTCAGCTCGTATAAAGACTCCCTTCAGCTCGTCTATAAAGACTCCCTTCAGCTCGTCTATAAAGACTCCCTTCAGCTCGTCTATAAAGGCTCCCTTCAGCTCGTCTAAAAGACTCCCTTCAGCTCGTCTATAAAGACTCCCTTCAGCTCTTCTATAAAGACTCCCTTTTTTTCTATAAGGACTCACTTCAGCTTGTCTATAAAATCTCCTTGCAGCTCTTTTATAAAGAATGCCGATTTCTTTTCTGTAAAATATAACTTTTTTTGTGTTTCCACTTCTTATCCTTACAATTTGCATATTGCAGGGTCTTGCCTCACCCGGTTCTCCAACAGATGTCGGCAAAGCTGATGGCCATTGTTTGCGTGATGGCGAAATTGTTGTCTTCGATGACATCGATACGAATTGGATGAATAAATCGAATAATTCATACTCCTCTAATCATTCCACAAGTCAACATCATCGTGCCGATTCATTTCATGGCAATGAGGATATACTGAAAGTTACTAAAATGATTGGCCAATTACCCATTGCTGAGTATGAAGGATCTCCGCGTCGTTTTGGCAATCAACAACAGGCTACACAAAAGTCAACTAGTGGTGCTGCATCTACAGGTACGACAGGTATATTACCCAAAAGGCCACCGGGATTTCCACAACGTGTTTCACCAATGGCTGTGTTGACACCACAACAACAACAGCAGCAACATCAGGAAGCAGCACATGCCCGACACCAACAAATGCAACAACAACATCAATTTTATGCCCAAGCCACCAGTAGCGGTAGCTGCAGTAGTGCATCATTTTTCAACAACAACGATTCCGCCAATAACAAATCGCCAACTGGTAATCTTATCGATATTGATGCGGACGATGAATTGCTAAACTCCACCAATACAAATCAGTCGCACAGCTCAAGTCATGACTCAACAAAATCAAAAGTGAAAACACCAACATTTGATTATCTTTATGAATTTTCGGAGACACGTAAAGTTTTGGAAGATTTCTTCAAGGGTAACAACGATGATGAAAAACGTTTTACGGATTTCACTGAAAGTGGTGATGATATGGGTAGTTGTGTAAGTTGTTAGACATATAGTGAAGATTAATTAATGGGAATGTTATTTATGTGTTTGTGTGTATTTTTCTTTTATAACAGGACACTCATCATGAATATCAGTCGAGTCAATTTGGTCACACCATGGACGAGGATTTGCATATTGAACAATCATATATTGGACAGCGTTTAGCTAGAATACCCAAAGAAGAACTGTATTTGGTACATCGTTCACCCAAGAAACAGGTATGGAATACTGCAATCGTTATTTTACAAGAAATAAAAAAAAGACCAGGAGTGACGGTATGCTGTCTTTATAGTACTCCACACTGCTTTGGTTAAATTCAAGATTTTATCTTACGATTTGTATTGCACTCCATAATAATGTTGGATGTAAAAAATTCAGGTTAACTTAAATTAAGTAAAAATGCGAGGACCATTTGACATGGTCGCATAAACTATTTAGGTAACACATAATAATATGTTACAGAGTAAAATATTGGAATATCTACATCATTTCTGACAAGCCACCGGTGTCCCTTAATATGAAGCTTAGCTCCTGGTGATAAATAATATTCTGCTGAAATTCGACCTCCTTAAAATAAAGGTTGTAGCCTATGTTGATGATGTAGTCTTGCTAGGCGGTGGGAAGTTCCTGCCGACAATTTCTGATATCATGAAGGGTGCCCTTTTTACACTGTCCAAAAGGGCACACGCCGTAGGATTTACGGCAATGGTCTTGGCGTAAACGAAAATAGAAATGGTATTCTTCGCTAGGAAACGTAAGATCCCAAATTTCTGACTGTCATCCTTGGGTGGAGTTACCTTTGCCCTTTCCTTAGAAGCAAAATACACTGGTACAATCCTCGACTACAAACTAAGGTGGAAAAGGAATGTTGAGAAACGTACTAAGAAGGGACTAATAGAAGGGAATTTACTCCTGCAATAATTCTATAGGTAAGAGCCGGATCACTAAGAAGCACCTGGTTAAATTCCCGGCTGCTAGATGCGCTCTGAGGCTTCGGGAAATGTATGCTTGGAAGTCGCTGAATTTTGGTCACGCTAGTATCCTCTTTTCACAACGCCAGTTTGTGACTTTTTGGAGAGGAGTTCTCACACCAGTGATTTTACTCCCTCTCATAACGACTTTTAAGACATCAGAGTCGAATTTCCTAGTAGGGAATCCTGGGCTAGTGGATCCTTACCTCTGACCCGTCTGTCGATATTTACAGATGGGGAGGAAGGTACTGGTACATGCATTTTCTGCAGTAACTCATATGAACTTAATGACCTTTGCAACGTTTTTCAGGCAGAAATCCTGGCAATAACGACGCGGCTGAGATAGCCAAAACACTTACTGCCGAACATAGGACCGGTGACTATATATGTCGATAGTCAGGCGACCCTTAAGGCATTAAAGTCGTGCACTATTAACTCAAAAGAAGTTCGTGATTGCAAGGATATACGATATATGGTTAAATTATGCTAGGTTCCAGAACATAGCAACATAGAAGGGAATAAGATAGCCGATGAGCTTGCTCGAGGGACCCAATCTACCGATAGAGGGATCTGTACGGTTGTACAGATCCCTCCCGCGATGTAGTCGCCAACGGATGGACATCTGAACCTGGATGTAGGATTTCGAAAACCATTCGAGAATTCACCAGAATTCGCTGTTGTCTCATAGTAAGAGGGATAATAACATCGTTATGGGGATCATAACAGATCACTGCAATATTAGATCTCTCACTTCCAAATGGGACATAAACGGAGGGGATTTTTGTCGTCTATGTGAGGATGAGGAAGAGCTAGAAACAACTGAACATATACTCTGTAGGTATCCATCGCAAAGTGGCAGAAGACACAGACAGTTCGGCAAATATAAAATTGATAATATAGCATTCTTCTCCGGAATTGACAAAAAAATTACTAATCAATTGTTTTGCAGATTTTATATATTTTAAATTTCAACCTCATGGTGGACGGTGTAAAAAGTTAGGCTAGGCGGAACTTGTTCTTGTACTTGTTTATATTAAGTTCTTTGAGAGATGCTTCTCGGTCAGTGTCCGTAACACACTCTTCGAAAATACTTTGAATATTCTCCATCCAATCATTCGAAGGCCGTCATTGTGTTTCTCAACAAATTTCAGCGTTTTGTTCATTCCAATAAAAAGTGGTGGAATTCACATGGAAGTCTTAATTCCGCACAGTATATTGTCGACAGGTATGGCAGCCAGCTTGCGGCCTTCACCTTTGTATATTGTAACCTGTACAAAGCAAAGGTTCTGACGATCAACTTCGTCAGTCAGAAAGAGGACCTTCAACTGAAACCAATAAGCTTCGCCGCTCGGTTATTGCTTGCCACTCGTGAATGTCAGTGCCATCATGCTTCGTTTTCGACTTCTGGGACCCTTGCTCGTGATGGAAGATTTGATTTTGGACTTATTATTCTCACTCCTCGTCGAAGCAATCGAGAAAAGGAATCTTATTTGTCCGGCTACAAGTGACTGCGTTGACATTTTCGCGTATTATTAATGTTCATCTGAAGACCGCATAAAGGGTGTGAGAGGGGTTTGGTGTCGGCACTGCTGTTGATGCTGGGCTTTGACAGTGGACCTGTTGTTGATTTATTTTCGGACGGAGTTTTTGGTGAGGTTACCTTTGGTGTCGGCACCAAACCGGATTTTTCCAGCAGCTGACAATGGACCTGTTGGTGGTTTATTTGTGGGTTGGAGTTTTGGTGGCTGAGGTTACCTTTTCGGAGATTTTTTTCGCGCGCTCCTTCAGAAAGATCTAAACACTTCCATATATTCTTTGTATTGATTGATGGTAACACGTATCTGTTTTTAATCCAGCAGTTTCGCTTGGGTACAGACTTCCCCAACTGTACTTGGACGACTTTCAGTTGCCCCATGGAACACTTGTTCCTTAAATATATTGCTCACGAACAGAAATATCTAATTAAATCCACCCTTAACCTTAGCTAAAAAGAATGATGGAATTCCGAAAATTCGTGGATTTTTCATATGAACATGTGTGTGCTGTGTTTTTCGGTGTACTTGAAAATATGTTAAGTGCTCTTCTGTGTGCCGTTAGCATTGGAAATGCACTATTTATGTATTTTTAGACCACAAAGCCAATGTGGAAAAACTTGTGCGACGTATTTTCTCTTTTCATTTTTGCTGCTGTTTCTGTTTTTATTTTCTTTTTTCTTGAGTCATTTCATGGGATTTTATTTTTATCATACCAATTGTGTATTTCCAGAAACAAATGGCAACGACGCAGCAGCAGCAAGAGCCTCAACCACAACATCCACAACATCATCAGCAGCAAGAACATTCCTCTTCTTCGCAGCAGCAGCACAATCAACACCACCAGTCGCCATGTGACAATATTCTGTACAATGACAACAACGACATTGAATTGTATATCGATTCGAATAGTCGAAGCAGTGGTGATTTAGCCGATACCGAATTGGAAGCAAATTTACGACATCATTCGCGCAATTTCACATTGTCGCCGGAGACAACTGATTACGATTCGAATTGTGGTGATTTGGATAGTCTATCGAATGATATTAATTGTAGCACAGACTATGGCAAGCTATACACTAGTATGCCAGTGCTAGAGGACGGGCTGTCAAGTGGTCACGCATCGGATACGGAAAATAATTGTCAAAAATACGATTCGAACGGTGGCAGTGGTAGTAGCGGTGGCGAAGGTGGTGGCAGCATCAGTAACAACGGCAGTGGCAGTCATAACGGCGATAGTTTGGAAATAAATGAAAAATTGCAACAGCAACAACAACAGCAGGAAATGTTGGAACAAAATAAATACAATAATAGCTTGAAGCAAGAGTGCATGGATAATAATTGTAGTGCAAATAATTTAATTACCAATCTGGTGGATTTGGATGACGAGGGGCTGTTGATGAGTGGACGTCTTAGTGGCAGTGGGGGAGGTGTTGGTGGCGATGTAGTTAGTGGTATGCGTGGCCTTTGCCTTTCTGGTGGTGATGGCGATTACAAACTGCAGCAACAACAACCTCACTGTTTGGACTTAATAAATACCTCAGATAATAATTGCTGTAACAATGATAGGTCAGCGTATGAACCGATTTACGCCACAGTTAATAAGCAACAACAGCAACAACATCAACAATCACCTCCACCACCGCCTGCACCACAACCACACCGTCCACAGCTACAGCAACAATTGCAGTCAACCCAACAATCAGCGATGCGTCATCTAAAACACCCTGGTCGTGCGGAATCAGTTGAAATTCAAGAAGCTATGAAAGAAATACGTTCCGCCCTTCAACGAGCCAAAACTCAACCAGAAAAATTAAAATTCTGCGATGAAGTATTACCACCCGATCCCGAATCGCCAATATGGGTACCACGTAAAGGCAATGAGGAGGGTGGCAATGCTGCGGCGGGTATATTAGTCGATGGTGGTGTTGGTTGTGGTGGAGATATTATTGGCGGTACAATTATGGATTCGAATAAATTGCAATGTGATGAAGAGGAGCCGGATACAGATTTGGAAACTGATCGTTTACTGGGTCAGCAGCGTAACGATGAACAGGATTTCTTTGATGATAAAGTAAGTAGAGGGGAAATATGTTCAAACATTCAAAGAAGTTATTGGGGATAGACAAAGAAATATTCTAGCCGATATTCAATATGCAATAAGTAATATCGTAATATTCATGATAGAAATCGAAATATGTGTGTTTTAAAATTACCTTACACTATTATTAGGTAGAAAATTCCATAGTTAAAAAAGCCTTTTATAAATTTCATAGCCAATAATATTTACAATCTATAAGTCGCCTGTACTTGGGTGACCTTATTTGAATTGCCGTATACATATATACTAAAACATATCTACTAAAGATTTATTATCATTCAAAGCTTATTGAAAATATTATTTTACAAGCCACGTTCAAAAATGCGTTAATTCTTCAAAAATCATGCTGGATGTTCTTCTGTGCTTGTTCTTTAAAAATGCATCAATACATACTTGGTAGTTCTTCAGAGAACTATTCTTTAAAACAATTACTTAGTTCTTGAAAAATATATATTCTTAAAAAATCCCCAATTACCCTTAGACCATTCTTTGGTATCTGAACAAATTTGTTCTTTTAAATCCACGTTTATATCGATGTTAGTTCTTAAAAATATTCATCTCAAATAACTCTCATAATTCCTGAAAAAAAAAATTCACACAACTACGGCAGCCAGCTTGCAGCCTTCAACTTTGTATAAAGCAACCTGGCCAAGCCAAAGGTTCTGAGGATAAACTTCGTCAGTCAGGAAAAGTTATTCAACTGTAGGTCCTCCTTCAACTTCAACTGAAGGACCGATAGACCAGCATGGTTCAGCTAGGTTATTGATTGCCACTTGTCAGTTTTTCGGAGTTTCAGTGTCATCCTGCTTCGTTTCCGACTTCTGAACCCTGACTTTGGACTTATTCTTCTCACTCCTTACATTGATCGTCGCCTTAGGACATTCTTTGGTATCTGAACAAATATTCTTTTAAAATCCACGTTTATATCGTTGGTAGTTATTCAAAAATATTATTATTATTATTATTTATTTTCAAAGACTTGTTACCAGGCTATCTAGCCCATTTTGTATTGGTACAAGCAATCTACACAACATTGATTCTTATGACAAATAATATAATAATTAAATCTTAATAATTAAAATTAAACCTAAAAATTAAAATTAATATCCCAATTACGCAAATAAAAACATATATATGCTTCACGAAAAGTAAACCTGATTCGTACTACTATAATAGCGTCCTCTATTAAGAACACTTATTATCAGTTAATTGAAACTGATAAAAGTATATATATTTATGAAAGGTCAACATACAAAACATATTATTGTCTTATATAATACTTACAGTTATGTAAATATTAAAAAGTATAATATGTATTAAAGAGTTAAATAATGATCCAGAAGTTTTTTTTATAACTTTTAGTACATAACGAAAAAGACTTTAATGAAGATGGTAAACAATTATAAAGACGCGCAACTCTGACATGAAATGCTTGACTTAAGTAGGAGGATAGGCGTGGAATTATGATCTGTGGGTTTCTAACAGATCTTCCAAAACTGAATAATTTGCACACAAATTCAGGTTTTATACATTTTTGTGTTCTATAAAAATGTAACAGCAATCTAATATTAATATAAGTGAAAAAAGAACACCCTAAAAACTGGATAATATACCCGGACAAGTGTTGTCGACCTTTAACAGAATATATGAACCGTACAACACTATTCAACACCCCACGTAACTTTCTCATGACAATACCTACTGTCCCAGAGTATACTTCTATGCAATACAAAATCACTGGCATAATAATAGCATAGACAACTTTAGTTTTAATATGTAATGGAAGTGATAAGTTTAGATTGTAAAGCTTTCGCAGACTAAGATAAACCTTTGAAATAATTGAATTTATGTGAGCGGAAAAAGACAGTTTGTCATCCAGAACTACACCAAGGCAATTCAAGTTGTTCACAACCTCAACCGGCATATTATACAATGAGATTGTAATAAAATCATTTTTAAAATTTCCAAATAGCATGGATTTAGTTTTACTGGTATTTATGGTGAGATTGTTACAAGACACCCATGTAGTAATTTTATCACAAGAAGAATTAACACCGCTTTGTAGAACATTAAGTACATCTAACTCGCCTGTGAACAGAATTTGGACATCATTTTTAAAATAATATCATATTTAAAATAACTCCAGAAAAAAATATTTAAAAATTTGTAATTGTTGCATTGAAATTTCTCAACAAATATTAAAAAAAAATATATAAATCTTTTAGTCTCTATTAAAATTTTCTATAAAATCTGAGTTTGTCTGCTCTAATAGTCTGTCTTAAAACATTTAATAACATCGAAATTGTAGCTCTGATTTTTCGGCAAAGAATCCACGCTAATAATTCTGATAGGTTCTGAAAAAGATTATTTAAAAATCCACCCTTATTATTCTGCTAGCTATTACTTAAAAATCTATCTACGCTTATAGTTCCTGAATAAATATTCTGCAAAAATCCACGATTATAATTCTGATAGTTCTTAAAAATCTATTCCTTAAAAACCCTCGTTTTATAGTTCCTGAAGGAATCATCTTTAAAAATTCACTCTTATTAATCCTCAAAAATATCCTATCCTAGTGGGCCGAACTTTTTATGCCCTTCACAACATGATGTCGTCGGTCGGGATCTTTAGATGTGGATTATCTGATTACATTGTGTGGCAGTAGGTTGCGCATGCTTTGAAAACGAATGCTCCTAACTACAGACAATGCGTTTCGGAAACTGGGATAGATCTTCAATATCTTGAAAATTACAGGGCAAATCTGAAACGTTATCCTATACTCGGGAAAGAAGCTTTTTTATTCACCAGAATGTGTCAAATCATAGCCACATCGAGAAAAATCCGGTTAAAACCTTAATGATACGGAAAATAGTAAGGGACCTCTATGTGGAGGCTATATGATGTTCCTTATATGGAGCTATGTCAAAATATCGACCAATATTGTTCATTTTACGCCAAAACGTTGATTAGGTTGAAATGAAATTTATTTTGCTTTTTTGCAACAAAGCCTGCATGGCCATTGATAGTTACACAATACCACAATTGGCGGACATCTACCCCGAAACATAGGCCAATATCATCATCATTTTTGGTAGGAACATTTCTCACCCAAATAACAAATTACAGCTAATGAGACTGAAGAACATGCGGAAAAGCTTCAAACTATCAAAATATCGCATCAAACATCCTATGTGCAAAATTTCAAAGCTGTATCGTTATTTCAACGGACAGACAGACGGACATTTCTAAATCGACTTTGAATTTTATGGTATACTTTATTTTATTTATTTTATTTTTAATACTTCGTAAACTGATAAAATTAATTATATCGGCTATGATTACAAACACGCATTGGAATGTGGTTTTATTTTGCTATGCTTTTATAGAAGTTCAATTGCATAAAACATTAATTCAATTTTCTCATTTACAGACAATATGGCCTAAAACATCGCGTATTGGTTCTGCCATCAATTCCAGTGGTGATCATTCGCCGACCACATCAGATATTGCAAAAACCCTACATGTAAAGCCACAATTTTCTTCAGCCACCATACGACAGGGTATTGGCACATCACTGACACCCAATTCGCCAGAGCATTGTCAAATGGTAGGCGGTAACGAGATACCAATGACAACACCCGAGAAGATAACATATACCAAAAGTCCAACGGGATCTATAAAATCCCTAAAGGATTCAGCGAATAGTGATAAAAAAGCTAAATCTCGCAACAAAGAGGGTAAGTAGTAGAAGTGGAGGGTGGAATGTGAATATTAAATATGAATTTAAATTCTACTACAAACATGGTTCTCTGTCTCTTTTTTTTAAATCCATTCTATTTACATGCATTCATAATAACTTGCAATGCGGTTTTTGATTGTTGGTATGGTGATATGTATTATTTATATGTGTAAGTTGAAAAAAGTGAACTTATTCAGTAGTATTTTTGTTTTTTTGTTGAAACGGCATTTACCCCATGTTTAAGGTCTCATGATTAGGCAATATAAAACATATATATTTCAGTTGATAGGCATGAAAAATGTTTCTCTTATTTTTTTTATCAATATGAAGGTCATACGAAAAAGCGTCCTTTTTAGTTGGTAATTCCAAAAGAATGTTTGTGTCTTTATCAATCATTGTGAAAAGAGCCAATACAGCATTTGCGGATTATGCCTGCCATCTGTCGATGTCTAGAAACAACACCTTCTTGAATTTTGTACAGTGGTTGGGATCCTTGCTTATTTAGCGTTACAAATTTACCTCTGGGTGGCGCTAACTCCTGAAATTATTATTTTGTGTTACCCTGTAATGTTGATGTCGAGGTTGGCCATTAGAATGTCGGGTAGGGCTTCGGAAGCATTCCTACTGGATGGGGGTGTAAGACACTATCAAAAACAGTTTGAAAATGTTGTACTGCCAAATCGGGGAAACAGGCTACTAAGGTGAAGCTCGAACTCCCTATTTTCTTCTCAGTGTATCGGAGTACTTTACGTAAAGGCGTGTCCATATATGTTCTGTTCTTTGTTGATTTTTATTGAAGTAGGGGGACTATTTTATTGATTTCGGATGAGGATTGTCTTTAGTGCCATCAATCGCCTCCCTCACCAGTTTTTATACCCTTCGCCCCACTGTGGTACAGGGTATTATTGCTTTGTGCATATGTTTGTAAGAGGTAAGAGGAAACGAGATAGACCCATGATTCCTTTTGAGAATATACATAGCATTACTTTCTGATTCGATTTATGCATGTCCGTCCGTCTAGAATGATGTCTGCTTAGTTTCGTGAAAATCGGTTCAGATTTAGATATAGCTCCCATATATATTTTCCTTCGATTTAAGGTAGATGGATCGTCAAAGTCCCTAAATATCATTTGATTTGCACGAAAATTGACAAAGCGTACTAAATTAAGTCTAGAATTATTTGTGCTAAGTTTCATGGAAATCGGTTCAGATTTAGATATAGTTCCCATATATGATTTCGTCCGATTTTATGTATGGTGCATCAAACCCCCAAGGTTTAGATTTACATACAGCTCCCATACATAATTTTGCAATTTTCTTTCTGTGAATCTAAGCACTTCTTGTAAAATTGTGTACACTGGTTAGGTTTTTGGTATAGGTTCTGTGATTTGTTAATTTTTATGGAAATAGGATGACTACTTTATTGATTTCGGAAGGAAGTTTGGCTAATCTGCTTGTAGATCTATCAATCGCCTCCCTCATCAGTTTTTATACCCTCCACCATAAGTTGGGACTTCCCGCCATGGAGTTGGGACTCACCTTGATTTATAACAGCCACTTTCATTCACGTTATGTTAATCACAAAGTCTTCCTCGTCTGGTGATTTACAAGGACTCATACAAGTTCTTTATAAGAGGATTTGAGGTCAGCCATGGTATATCAAGGAGTTGGAAAGTAACTGCGAAACATTCCAATAGAGTCGGTACTGTTGGGGAGGTCAGCCATGGTATATCAAGGAGTTGGAAAGTAAATGCGAAACCTTCCAATAGAGTCGGTACTGTTGGGGAGCCCATTATAGCAAGGATTTCGTACCAAATGAATGTTATTCCCAATGCCCAACGACAACACACATTAGTAAAATAAAATTGAAACTGGAAGGAATAGCTACCAAAACAGAACCCCAAAAAGGAACGGAAACGGTCCTTAATTTAAATTCACTGAAATTTTGGTAATCATCGATCAATCCAAACCAAAGTTATATAAGCAAAAATGTACTTAGCATGGAACGTCGAAATCGAAATTTTGTTGAAATTTGAAATAGACGAATATACTGGTATACATGTTATTAATTTTTGTTTTTGAAATAGACCCAAAAATATTTTTTTCTTTATTTTGCTGGAACCCTACAAATCTCATTTAATATTTCCTTTTATTTTTTAAACGTTTATAGGTTGCTTTTTGGATCCGGCAGTGTTGATAGAAGGTGTTCTCTTTCGTGCACGTTACTTGGGCTCAACCCAGCTGGTGTGTGAGGGTCAACCAACAAAATCGACACGTATGATGCAGGCCGAGGAGGCAGTATCACGTATTAAGGTAAGTATTCGGTGTCCACTGTGACCTCTCTGACCAACACCCCTATCCATCTAATAAAATAATGCTGTTCATTGCATTCTTCTATACCTTCTTAATGCACGGCTAGCCTCTAAAGAAACCAAAACTTAAAAACATTACAAAAATTATCAAATCTTTTTATAATCAAACATTTTTATTATTAAAAATTTCCCTTCTATAACAAAACAAAAAATGCTGCTATAACATTGTTGAATTTGAATTTGCTTGATTGAATTTAGGCTTTGGTAAGTTCATATTATATACTATATAACCTCAATTTTCTAAACAAATTAACAAATAAATAACCTAAAACCTATCCATTCATTAATGTTGTTTGTTTGTTGTTGTTATTGTATTGTTTGGCTTTTATTCCCCACGGATTTGGCAAAAGGTTTAATACAAATTTAATAAAAATATCGTTTTACTCAATTTTCTAGGCACCCGAGGGTGAAAATCAACCCTCCACCGAAGTGGATCTATTCATATCAACGGAGAAGATAATGGTCTTAAATACCGATCTTAAAGAGATCATGATGGATCATGCTTTGCGTACCATTTCCTACATTGCCGATATTGGTGATTTAGTTGTATTAATGGCACGCAGAAGATTTGTCCACTCGGATCCTTGTAATTCCACTGGTGGTTCAGGTGGCGGTGGTAATACAGATTCGGCGGATAATTCAGCTGCTGCCAACGGCGGCGGCGGTAATACCACCACCAATGGCAAAGACAAGGAATCCAAAGATACAACTACCTCTGCAACATCAACTGCTGCATCATCGAACAACAAACATAATCGTACCCCAAAAATGATATGCCATGTCTTCGAAAGCGACGAAGCCCAGTTTATTGCCCAATCAATTGGCCAGGCGTTTCAGGTGGCCTATATGGAATTCCTCAAAGCCAATGGCATCGAAAATGAAAATCTAGCCAAAGAAATGGACTATCAAGAAGTTTTGAATAGCCAAGAAATTTTCGGTGATGAATTGGAAATTTTTGCGAAAAAAGAACTGCAAAAGGAAGTGGTTGTGCCCAAGGCGAAGGGGGAAATATTGGGCGTTGTCATAGTTGAATCTGGCTGGGGCTCGATGTTGCCCACTGTGGTCATTGCCAATTTGATGTCTGGTGGAGCGGCTGCACGTTGTGGCCAATTAAATATCGGCGACCAGCTGATCGCCATAAATGGTCTTAGCCTGGTGGGACTGCCACTGTCGACGTGTCAGAACTATATACGTAATGCTAAGAATCAAACAGCTGTTAAGTTTACTGTTGTACCATGTCCTCCGGTGGTGGAGGTGAAAATATTGCGTCCTAAAGCATTATTCCAATTGGGTTTTAGTGTTCAAAATGGTGTGGTAAGTATATGAATAGATTTTTGCTTTTATTTCCATTTTCATCTCTGTGTTTCCTTTTCTGTTGTTGTTTTTTTCAGATTTGTAGCCTTTTACGCGGTGGCATAGCGGAAAGAGGTGGAGTACGCGTTGGCCATCGAATTATTGAAATAAACAATCAGAGTGTTGTGGCAGTGCCTCATGACACTATAGTTAAGCTCTTGTCATCGTCCGTGGGAGAGGTAAGTTGAAAATATTCTTAAAAATATTTTTTTGACAATCTTAAACAGATATTGGAATGCCTATTTCCAACATATATTTTGGAGTTAAAATCTGTTGCTTCTTTTCGATTATAAATATGATTACGGAAAATAGTAAATAGATGGGATGTTGAATACATAAAATGTATAGAAGTATAAACAGGATATTTAGAAATAGCAACATGATAATTATTTAAAACGTCTTTAAGAATATTTAAGACAAAAACGAAACTTATCCCAAACAGGAATAAAGGAAATTGCTACGTACCTGAATAAAGATTTTATTCTTATACAATACGGCACTATATACGCAACGTATTGTGTTTTCTTGTCTTCAAACAGTCCTTTTAAAAGGTGCATTGTCCCTAATTACTTTTAGCTATTAATAAATTCTTTCTGTCAGACATTTCCGCCATAGTTCGTTTGGATAATAGTCGCTATAGCGCCGTATAAGATCGCATACCTATTAAGATTCTGATGTGAATGATAAGTCTTCGTGTCGTGGGTTCTAATGATTAATTTTCAACCTTGCATATAAACATTTGACAATGGACTTGTTAAGGTTACGTTAAAAGAAGCTCGACTGCACGCTGAAAGGCCTTTACATGGTGTCCTTTGTTATAGTTTTATCAAGGGAAATACGAGAACGGGGAATAGTATGTCATTATCTGGTTCTTGCTCCTCTGTATCCAAATTCATGAAGGTAGCCTTCTGTATTGGCGGCGTACATATGTAGTTTGGATGTATGTGTGATGGCAACCTCAGCATCCTGTGTCCCGTACACAAAAAGGAGACAAGACGATATGAGCCAACTATAGAGGAATTAGTCTCCTTCCCATCGCATATAATTTGCTATCAAGGGTGTTGTGTGAAAGACTGAAGCCAATGATTAATGACGTTACTGGACCATACCAATGTGGCTTCAGACCTGGCAAATCCACCATCGACCAGATTTTCACACTGCTCCAAATCCACACTGCTCCAACCACATTCGACAGCCAAATCCGCTCGGAGGTGTTAATGCTATGTCTATGTTTGGCATTCCTGAAAATTAATAGGCTATACAGGGTAACTTTAACTGGCACAGTTAAAGTCTGAAAGGACCTCTCGGAACCCTTCAATACCGAACGAGGATTCAGAAAAGGTGGTAGTTTGTCGTGTGACGAGATGCAAATGTGAACAGAAATGACACTCTGTACACCAAACAGCATATTTTACTCGCCTACGCCCACGACATCGACATAATAGGTCGAACATTGAGAGCGATAACAGCCATCTTTGAACGAATTGAGAAGGAGTCTGATTAAGTTGGTCTGGCAGTAAGTGTAAGAAGACAAAGCTGATGGTATCAACGCCCAAGACGTCCAGTTGACTCGGACCAACTGAGGAACTTGAAAACGACAGCTTCGAGGTGGTGAAGGATTTTATATACCTCGGTATCGCCATTAAAAAACTAATAACATCAGTTTTGAAATACGGAGAAGAGTATTGACCAACAGATGCTACTATGGTCTGAGCAACTCAAGAGCAAGGCCACCTCTTGACAGACTAAACTCACACTGTACAAGACGCTGAAACTATGCGTGCTGTTGTGTGGATCTGAAGCATGGGTACTTGCGCAAGCTGATGAGACAGCTCTTGGAATGTTTGAGAAAAAAATTCCCCGAAAGATATATGGGCTGATCTGCGTTGACGGTTAATATAGTCGTCGAATGAACCATGATTCAGACGTATCAAATGTCATTCAAATCGAAGTATTTAGCCCTCTACATGAGAATTTCGTTAGTGTCATATGTTAGGTTAAGGCATGTACGCCTGTTTTTTCAGCCGTTCACTCAGAGCCATTTGTCCATTGTGCTCATCCTGGGTACCTGAAAAGAAAGGATTAAAGGAAAGTAGAAATGAGGGTGGGAGTGATAGTTGAAGTTTAAAACAGTGTGCGAAAGATTATTATTTAAGCCATGTCAGAGTGTTAACAAAGCTAAGGATCTGCTTGGGATCTATTCCGGAGAAGAATTTATTCCAGCTATTCTTCATCCTCATATAAATGTCAATAATCCACTCCGTTAATATCTCATTTTGAAACGAATGATCTAATCCTGCAGTGAATTGTTATGATACCCACAATGATTTTTATCTCCCTCTTACTCTGAGACAGCAGCGAAGAAGTTCTTGGGCTAGAGAATTCTGGCCAGATGGTTATTGGAAACCAGGATCCAGTTTATGTTGACGATCTGTTGTCGACTACCTCGCAGTAGCTCATGCAGATTTTGCCAATAAAGTAGCCAATAGGAGGTTGTACAGATCCCTCAATAGGTAGATTGGACGACTGCGAACCCCCTCGAGCAAGCTCATCGGCTATCTCATGCCCTTCCATGTTACTGTGTGACGACTGCGAACCTCCTCGAGCAAGCTCATCGGCTATCTCATTCCCTTCTATGTTACTGTGTCCTAGAACACAACATCTTACTTCGTGGTTATTAAGGCATTTGTATATATAGCTAGAGTACATGATATTTTTATCCGTAAAATGTACATTATATCATTACGTGATATTGGTTCTAGACCCACCTTTAGTATACCCATCTGTCCGTCGAAATTTTACATATATGTTCCATTTTTGCCAAAGGAGACATCTCTCTCGGCTAGAAGGAAAACTTTATTTTTGTCTGGTCACTCTAGAGGGGCCACAATTATGACTAGAATACCACATGGCGAAGGGGACTTCGCCAAAGAATAATCATGACTTTTTTTTTGAAAATCAATAACCAATATTTTAATGAATATCATCCAAGACTTTTTGTGTAAAAAACAATTTTAGTAATTTCACTCTTTTTCGTTTCTTTTCAGATTCTAATGAAAACAATGCCCACTTCCATGTTTCGTTTATTAACGGGTCAAGAGACGCCCATCTATATTTAAATCTCTCTCTATCTATTTATATATACATACGAAAACAAAAACAAATAATTATAATTATATAAATTATTCAAATTAAGCTTTAAGGGTCTTACGAAATCATATTATTTATTATTAATAATAGTATTAACAAAAAAATTTAATTTTGTATAATTTTCACAAAACAAAAAACGAAAGAAAAAAACTCGAACTTAGTAAGACAAACGGAAAATAAATACTAGCATATTCTAATAGGCAGCAGTTAGGCAAAAAAAACTAAATAACAAGAAATTATATTAGAAATATAAAAAAATTAAAGCTTTGCAGTTGAAAAAGAGGCTTTCAAGAGAACAAAAACGAAAATGTATTTTTTGGCTCAAAAAGCTAACAAGGAAAAACAAATCCCAGCTTATAAAACAAAATCATTATAGAATTTATTTAAATTTCAAAACACTTGTGAGAGACCACAACAAATGTCGGCAACAAGATTCATTGAAAATGAAATTTGTCCAGCCAGCAGCAGAAGAAGAAGATATTTAATTTTATATTCGAACAAAGAAACAAACAAAAAGTATTAATTGAAATATTGCTCTCGTTTTCTATTTCTCTTTTTTTCGTTAAAAAAAGATGAAAGACTGATAAAAAAACAAACAAAATTTCCTTTGTTGTGTTTGAATGGCCGCCAGCGTTAAAATGCCATTTGTAGCCACAACAATTAAACAAAACAAAGAAGAACAAAATCAATCATAATTTCTTGATAACAACAACAAAATACAATATAAACGCATATTAAATATAAGAATATTAATAATTATTATAAAACAAAAACAAATAATAATAAATGAGAAAATGACCCATAAATAATACTCACTTATGGCCCCAGTCTTGAAAATTATTTTGAAAACTGCTGCTAAAATGCATTTAGCTAAAAGAAAATACAAACAACATGCCCCACTCCTAGATCATAAAGAATTAACAACAACAACAAAAATATCTATTAAAAAATATTTTAGATTTCAAGTCTGTATTCTATAACTCTTTAAGGCTTCAATGAGATAAACTATTTCCACACACTAAGAAAAAAACAAAAACAACACACCCCACCTCACTGTCGTCCATCTTACACTTAAATACTACACACACACATACAATATTACACAGAGGCATGAATATCAATCAATATGATATTCATCGAAATCTCTATAACTTAATCTTCAATCCAAAGGTGATTTCATTTGTAAGACTTTTATTATTATAAATTGGAAATAAATTTTTAATTTATTTAATTTAAATTATAGTAAATATATTTTTTTAAATTTATAGTAAATAAAATTGGGTGTGGAACAATTCGAGCTTAAAAGGAGTTTCCTTCAGAAATTAATCTTTAAAGTGTTATTCAGAAAATTAATATTTTCTATATTGTATTGATTTCCAGAAAAAATATCTTTAATTTTTTTTAACTAATTGTTGAGCCACACCCTGTATTTGTTTACAGCTTATTATGCAAAATATTTCTTAAAAAATGCTCCCCTCCCCAATTTTTGGTAAGCAAAAAACAAAATACAAAACTTTTAGTGCCATTTTTTTGTATACACACCATGTATATGTATTTGTATGTATATATTTCAAAGTATATATAGCCATATAAATATAATATTAATTTTATATTTTTAAAATATTCATTGAATTGAAATTGTTACTTAAATATTTAAGTTAAAGCAAGACAAGCATTTTCTTTTTGCAATATTTAAGAAATGAACGAATTTGTATTGGCAACGGTTTTCCGTAGCTCAAAGCTTAATATTATTTGCAATTTATATCAAAACAAAAATATATTTTTAAAATAATTTCTAATAAAATATTGTTTTTATTTTTATTGATTTTTTATTTAGTTAAATTTTATTATTCTCCCTCCAGAAAACAAGAACAACAAAAAAGACATTGTTTTTTTAATATTATTTCTGTAATTAATAATTATAGTTTTATACCAAAAATTTTTTATTTTGTATTTAATTATTCTAAATATAATAAATAAATGTGAGCTATATTTGGTTATACTCGAAGCTTATCTAAAAATATAATTTCATTTGTTTTATTTACTGGATGATAATATCGATACCCGTCGGTTGCAATTCGAATAGGGCAAGCAATTATTTAGATAAACCTCTGACATTTTACACTCCTCCTTATTTACTCCCAGCATTATGGAATGTTATTATGTTGCATATCATCAGTGTTGTACGCCATCTCCACACACAGATAAGTCGAGGACTAAACCAGAACCGGACGTGCCACACTGTTTGAGGACATCTACAATATATCACACCGGCCAAGTTTGAAACGTTGGATAGCGCTTGACATATCAAAAGACTGTGATACCATCTATCACGTTACACTGTTTGAGGACATCGAGAATACTACGACCAAGTTTGAAGCTTTGGATAATCAATTGTAGACGCCAGTCGTACGTGAAGATGCCGAAAGTAGTCTTAAGAAGCTCACCGGAGCTGTTTATTCGACCGTTACGTAAGCAGATGATCATGACGTCGGGTTCTATCGTTGAGGATATATGTGTAAGGTTAGCAGATCTCTTACATGCGAGGAATATGAAAATATCCCGCCACGAAAACTTCGGCCGCATTGTCCACCACATGGACTGTGGAAACTGTCTGTACTAGAGGTCCAATGTTATAAAATGGAGCCTCTAGATCAAGTCACATATCGAGCAGGTCTGAATAGTATTCACACTGATGCAGTTGTCGACGAGTTAAATCATTACATAGAGAATGCAATCCTCGGAGCTTAACCCTACCCAGCGCAGCTGAGGAACGTCAGCCTAAAAAACAAGAGTCGTTTTGAAACAATTAAATTTTGGGTGGATTGATGACAACGTTCAGAATTATTCAATTGCCAAGCCTACCAAATTTACTACAGAAGATCTATGGTTGCAGCCATTGGATGCAGCTGAGTTTCTTAATTTGGAGACAAGTCCTGGAGCCAAATCACCGAATTCGTCATCGAGTTCTGTTTCGTATGTTACGACTCCCTGTTAGGCTGTGCTAAAGGGGACCTTCCGGTTAGTTAGCGGTCTCTGGGCTATGGTCCTCAACCCGTCCACATCTCTAACCCATCAGGGCGAACACGAACTCGAAACTTTATACAAACAAACTAAACAAAGTAATAACAAAATGTAAGCGAAAGAGAATGTCAATATGAGTTTTTGTGATCAAAATATGTTATTTCTAAGAAATGTATATCGTTTTTGTGTGTTAAAATATATGTGTACAAATATATTATGAATCCAAAAGTTTTTATTTATTTATAAGGAATTTGGAATTTTATTAATAAGGAATTTAGTTTGTTTTGTCGATTTGCGCCACAAATTTTGGATATTTAATGGCTAACTTTGGATGCTCCAGTTTGTTGTAGTAAGCGTCTACTGAGCGTTCATTTTTTGATCCGTGTCCCTAAATGTAAGAATTATATATTTTCTTAAATGGATTTTGCCAAAGTAGGGGAGACTGGGGCACCTTCGGCATCGGGGCACCTTCGGCAATCGCGTTTTCGATATGAAGCTCTCACCGTACATCACTAGTTTCGATACATAGGTATCGAATATCGAAATAAATAACTGACACAAAGTTTGAAATTTGTAGCTAATAAGCTTATTTAGATACATGGGTTTTTGTATTTTTATAGATGTTTCTGTAATATTTCAATTCCATTTCGTAAGTATTTCGTGTATAAAACTTTTTAAATTTTTAAGACAATATTATTAGAAAGTGGTTAACTATGATGTGTATTATTATACAAATATTTAAAAATATAATGTTTTTACTAAACTGATCGAAAAAAATGAAAAAAACTATAAAAAGTACATTCGGGGTACATTCGGCATTTTAAAGTGGGGCACATTCGGCCATATACAGATTGTGCAATATTATTTCCTTAAAATGTTTTTGAGTTTGTCTTTAAAACTAATCCTTTAATATGGTCTGAAATTTCATATATAAGATCAAACGTGCTTGTATTGACGAAAATGCGATAGAAACCCCCTATTTCTGATGGTGTGTGCGACCTTGAGATGTAAACGTCCGCCGCTAGAAATTAAAGTCCTATAATTCAAACATTGTGTGGCGTATTAAAACCAAATAGAGCCTTTAGAGGATCAGAATTTCAACCAGACTGATAGCGATGACAATTACCCGGCTATGACTATGGTGCCGAATGTGCCCCATAAAATGCCGAAGCTACCCCGGGCTGGGGCACATTCGGCGAATTTGACTTTTTTTACAAAACTGTAAAATTTTTTAACTAATACTATTTTTTACATCTTTTTGGTACTATTTTTTATAATTAAGTGTCCGAGGACAATAATCAGCCATAAAGTAGTTATATATGTTGAATAAGTACTGAGATATAGAGCTCTAAAAAAAAGTGCCGAAGGTGCCCCAGTCTCCCCTACTTAAATTTTCACCAATTTCTTGTTCCTTCCTGTGCGGTGATCCGCATGAACTACATTACGATGGCGAAGTACTCGATTTCGACTGCGCTGATTGGGCCCCTGGAGACAAGAAACTGGATGAATCAAATAGGAAGAATAACTACGTTAAAACTGGTAAAACTACAACAATTTGTCAATAACGGTCTATATTTTGGTATAAGCGTACTCTGTAATTTGCAATATTCTGACGATTTTTAAGGCCCGTTTCTCATCAAAAAATCAATAATTTCGGCCAATTTTAAGGATTTTAAACATATTATTTATGTGGTAATAGTTTAATTTGACAGTTGGAATTCTAATTGGGTGGGAATTTTTCTTACCAAAAATCTTTTTTTTATCGGTCCACTTTTAGAACAAATCACCGCCTCTACGACGAAACATCAAATTTTCGGTTTGAGGGTTTCTGATACATTTTTCATCTGACGGGACTATAATTTGGAACATTGGCAAATATTCCAAAAAGACATTACCAATAACGGTCCATTTTGGGTTTTTTTTTGGTTGGATGTGGAAAATATCTTTGAGAACATTTACAATTTATATCCATGTACGGACATAGAACACATATGAGCCGTTTATTTTGAAAGTGGTTTATGT